CGGGCTGCAAAGCGATAATAATGTTAATATTTTAAAGGGGGGAGATTCTTTTCTATATACACTGTATAATACATAGTTTTAAAACTCAAGGGTGCTGATAACAAATAGGCAAATTTGTTCTAATGTAAAATAGAACAGAATCTGAAAAATAGTATTGTTTTCTGTGTTTTTTTCATAGTATCCCCAAAAAGATAATTTTTTTTTTTTAACATTGTTTATAGGCCACAAAATGTGTAATCTGATCACACACTATGTAGAAAAGCAAAGCATGAGACACTGGACAAAACATTCAGTACCCTAAAATGCTTTGTTGTATAAGCTATACACACTAGAACAATGGTAAATCCATACAATGCATGTAATACTGAACAATAGCACTTTGTGAAAAGAGCCTACATAGAACAAGCTGAAAATGAAGCCTATAAAATGCAGAGACTAACCCTTTGTCAGATTTACCATTGTTACAGCATGTACACCTACATTTGGCAGAAGTATATTTAAAATGGAATTACACTGTTTCCACGTTCAACAGAAAGTGAATATTTTTGTGTAGTAATGAAGATCTATCCCCCATAAATACAGTGCATATATAAAAAAGGGAGTTGTTATCCACACTAAAACTGAGGTCAGTGCCTTGGTGCTCTCTGGGGAAAAAATTGTGATAAAGTGAAGACTGTGGGCACACGGAGAGCTTTAAAAATGGCAGATAAAATGTTTATCTGATAAAATCCAAAACTACTGTTTCATTGAGATGCATCTTGAGAAACCATTTGGATTTAAAGCTAGTAGTAGTTAATCTCACTGAGCTGCACTTGTTCTGTATTGTTAAATAAATTTTTATCGCTTCTCCAAGCTATTTTTTTCAGTTATAAAGAGTGTCCGAAGGATACTCCTACATCTATATTGGTTTGTATTCTATCATTTTTATTTACTGTTTTGTGCCTCCTTTTTAGCTCTCTGATTGCCCAGAGTCATCCAGATGAATATATTTGTATCCATATATTATGCAAACCTACATTATCTACCTTGCATTCAGCTTTAAATGTTCACATTAAAGCAGAACTCTGGTCAAAATGTTTTATTTTCCCATTCAGTGGGGCTGTGCCTGCACTTCATGGATTAACCGCTCGTTTTGTCCCGGGGTTTAGGGAAAAGCTATATTTGCCTCGTCCTCCAATCATCCAGAAAACATTTCTCCCCCATGTCCAGCGGTGGATTGTTCTTGCCATCTGGAGCCGATCTATGGGCTTGGTGACATCAGGAACAGCCCATTCACAAGACTGCTAGCGTAGGGGGGAGGTGGTCTTGTGCTCGGAGGGTTGGTGGATTAGGAAAGTATATCTCCACTTTCCAAATCCGTAGACAAAAACGAGCACTTAACCTGTGCAGTGTGGGCTCAGCCCCACTGTCTGGAATTCTTCTTTAAGTCTTAGTAATTTTAGTTCTACACTGCTTCAGGTATAGGCAAACAAAACCAGCTGGTGTGTCACACAAAGATCTTCAATATTCACACATTGGGTGGCTTATGACAGGGCAGTCTGATATCATTTGGCTAGTAATGGCTACCACTAGTATCCAACAAGTTAATCACCACAGCGCAATACTAGAAATGACTGATGCTTTTCTGTGGGCTTTGTCCCTATTGTTCAGAGTATACCTGATGTCCTCTCATATGCTGCTTATATCACAAACCCTCAATGGTCATAACTATCAGATGCCTACAGTTCAGTGCAAAATTTAAGTGCCATGTAAGTACAGCAAAAGGTAAGAGTTGTTACAGGTGATGCAAGGCCTGGCAGTGTTAGCCAGTAAGAGACTTGGCCTGCCACAGTTTACCTCTGGTTTCCGTGACAACCTGTACACAATCCTAAATGACGCAATTCTTGGCAATTAGCAGGGAGGCCAGCCTGTTGATCTGGCACTGCCTCTGGTGTCTAAGCTACCTGCAAACAGTCTAGGAAAGGTAGTAAATAACTGAAAAGTAGCAGGTTGAATATGATGGTGACAAGTGAAGGAAAATGGCAAACCAAACTATTAGAGCACCGAATACAGCACATCAACTACACCTATAAACGTGCTAATATAAATAGCTTGCTTAACACACATTACTATTCGATGATAATATTACAACTTTGAAATCTAGGTTCTAAGTCAATTACTAGGACTTGATCTATAATTAACTACAACAATAAATACAAAAAATGGCATAATATAACTTTAATTTCATATTGAATAAAATATACAGTTGTGTTCAAAATAATAGCAGTCAGACATCACTACCTGATCAATCACTGTTTTTGGTAGAAATGATATTTCTACATGGCAAATAATTTACTAGCAGGTGTAGTAGAGTAATAGAAATCCAACAGACCCAACAGTCATGACATGCATGCTGCTGATTCTGTGTAATTGAATCACTAATTGAAAGGGGCATGTTCAAAATAATAGCAGTGTGGAGTTCTATTAGTGAGGTCATTCATTTTTTTAAAAACAGGTGGCAATTATTGCCCTTATTTAAGGAAGGAAGGCAGCAAATGTTGAACATGCTGGTTACAGTGCATTTCTCTCTGAAATTCTGAGGAAAATGGGTTGTTTCCAGACATTGTTCAGAAGAACAGCGTACCTTGATTAAAAAGTTGATTGGAGAGGGGAAAACCTATAAAGAAGTGCAGAAAATGATAGGCTGCTCAGCTAAAATGATCGTAAATGCTTTAAAATGGCAACCAAAACCTGAAAGACGCGAAAGAAAGTGAAAAACTACCATTTGAATGGATAGAAGAAGAATAGCCAAAATGGCAAGGACTCAGCCAACAATCAGGCTCCAGGAAGATAAAAGAAGGTCTAAAGTTACCTGTGAGTACTGTTACAATTAGAAGACGCCTATGTGAAGCCAAGCTATCTGCAAGAAGCCCCCGCAAAGTCCCACTGTTGAAAAAAAGACGCGCTGAAGAGGTTACAATTTGCCAAAGAGCACATTGACTGGCTAAAGAGAAATGGCGCAACATTTTGTGGACTGATGAAAGTAAGATTGTTCTTTTTGGGTCTAGTGGCCGGAGACAGTTTGTCAGACGACCCCCAAACACTGAATTCAAGCCACAGTACACTGTGAAGACAGTGAAGCATGGTTGCGCAAAGCATCATGATATGGGGATGTTCTCATACTACGGTGTTGGGCCTATTTATCGCATACCAGGGATCATGGATCAGTTTGAATACATCAGAATACATGAAGAGGTCATGCTGCCTTATGCTGAAGAGGAAATGCCCTTGAAATGGGTGTTCCAACAAGACAATGACCCCAAACACACCAGTAAACGTGCAACATCTTGGTTCCGGACTAACAAGATTGACGTTATGGAGTGGCCAGCCCAATCCCCGGATCTTAATCCAATAGAAAACTTGTGGGGTGACATCAAAAATGCAGTTTCTGAGGTAAAACCAAGAAATAGAGAAGAAATGTGGAATGTAGTCCAATCATCCTGGGCTGGAATACCTGTTCACAGGTGCCAGAAGTTGGCTGACTCCATGCAACACAAATGTACAGCAGTTCTCAGAAACAGTCCTTATACACCTAAATATTAAGTGATTCAAAGGAAAGCAAAATTTTTCAAAAAATTTTCAGGTTATATAGTGAATGTTTGAGTTTGTAAAGAAGAATACAAACACTGCTATTTTTTTGAACCGTCTAATATTCACTTTTCTTTAATGATTTTAGAGGAACAACACATTTGATCTATTTTTCTTCATGTTTTGATTTGGAGTAGAATGTGTAGTGTTCCCAATGCATTTGTGTGTGTATGGAAATAAAAGCTATTAGAAGGATTTTGAGCTTTATTCACTTTTTTTCAACACACTGCTATTATTTTTAACACAACTGTATGTATAAAAAAGTAACAAATGGCAGAGGAGATGCAAAGGTGTTCTTCAAACTCCTACAAAATTATACGTAAAAAAAATGAATGTGAAAAAATGTATTTTTATAATGTGTTTAACAAGTGCTGTATTACATCCTCTAATAAGTAATAAATCATGGTTTTCTGTTTTCCTTCAATTGTGATGGATGACCTATGCGATCTACTGCTTATCTACCTTTTCTAGATCATTTACAGGTTGCTTAGACAACCAAGTGGGCATAGCAAGGGGTAGTGCCTTTGCATCTCAATATGGCCCTGTTGCTGGCTTCCAGACTTGTCATTCAGGATTGTGTACAAGCTGTTATGAAAACCCAACGTAAGCTGAGGTGGGCCATGGCTCTTATTGGCTGCTTGACAACCTGGTGAGTCACTCGGAACAACTCTTACCTTTTGTGGGACTTATATGGTGCTCAAATTTTGTATGGAATTGCAGACTCCTAAGAGTTGGCTCTTGCCAGCAAGAGTTTGTGATATAAGCATTATACACGAGGACACTGAGGGTGTGAGGTAAAGGGTTAGGCACCAGAAACACATAGAGCCATTTCAAGTACCAAGTTGTGGTGATTAACTTGTTGGATGCTGATTGGTAGCTGTTGGTTAACCCTTCCCATGCATGCTGCCTTATGAATGGTTTTTATATGGCGATTTTGGTTACTTACGTTCATGAGTTGCATTTATTTTTTCTCCAGTAAATAAGCTTTTCAGACTTCACAAGGCCACTGCACTCTGTTTTTTGCTTCACATTAAGTCTGTCAGAAGTTGTATTATGGAAATGTTGACACATGGAAAGAAAACGGTTTTGATAACGTGTTTGTGTACATGTAAGTATTGGAATGCAAGGCACAGGCTTTTGAGTTCATTACAAGTCCGATGTATAGTAAACAACGGGAGAAAGACTTTGGCCCTTCAGCAAGGAAGGATTGTTCACAATTTCTTTTAAGGAATTTTTTTTGGCACATTGTTGGAGTTAATAAAGGGTTTTATCACTGTAGGCAACAGCAACATGGGGGAATTTTCTGAAGCATTTGCTAAAGTGAAATAAATTGTTGACTGCATATATTTCTTTTATTCTTCTTATACACTCAGGACTTGCCAAAGCCCTCTGAAGAGAAAGTAAAACTCATATTAAACCAAAGTGCCTGGACATCGCAATCCAATGCTTTGGCATCATGCCTACCCAGGCTATCAGGGAAATCTGAAACTGGAAAAACTGGTCTAATTAACCTGGGGAATACCTGTTATATGAATAGTGTCCTACAAGCACTTTTTATGGCTACAGAGTAAGTTCTGTCATTTAATTTACATATTGTACACTTGTACAGATATATGTGATATGATTACCTGGTGCAATTCTTAGCAGGAACTAAAAAGGCTTCTGATCCATTTTTTTATCATCTCTACTCTTTTAAACTTTAAATGAAAATGGGCATGAAAGAAACATGGAAATATTTTCTAGTGTCAGAGGTCACCTGAAATCCGAATCTGCATTAACACATCTGTTTTGTGGTGTAGTTGTAATGTAGTGTGTTTTTAAAAATCCCATACGGCAGGCACACCAAAACCTTATTTTGACCACCAGAGACTGGGATCAACTTTTCAGGGCTGTGCAGGGTCCTAAATGTTAAACATTGCTTCTGCTGGTGACAAAGTCAGATTAAGGAATTTTCTATTGCTTAATATTGACGGCGCCCCCCTTCTACCCATTACAGCACTCTTATTGCTGAAACTATGTTATTAGTACCATTTGGTATGTAGTTGGTACTTTCATTCGCCTTTGATTCGTTTCACGTGCAATATCATGCATCCCCAAGGAAGGAGCATTTTGCTAGAAACTGCACCAAAGATACAGCAAGCAGGATTTTGTACTCGCCACACTTGACACACAGAGAAGTGAGTGTAGCTCAGTTTTTAAAGTGGCTATGTGGATGGGCCAATGGGAAATGTTGACCATTAAACAATATAGATTGCAAAGCAAGAAAAGATCATTGCATGTCGGTTTTATTCTTTACGTAAAAGAGGGTATTGAAAACATTTTTAGGGAGACACGGTCACTTTTCCCTGCAGGGCAAAGTGATATGATCTCATCAAGACAAACACAGTAGGGGATCAGACAGCTGTAAACATTTGACATGGAGTGTAATTCTTACCTGTGCCATCCAAAATTCAGAATTGTTAAGCCCAGTAATATGCTTTCATTTCTCAGTGAGGTTTGATAAAATGCAAGGCAAAGTATTTGTAAACACTCGCCTTGTAAAACAACTCATTCATTATACATTAGAAATGAAAGGCAGAACATTTTTGTGTATAGATATCAAATACATTATAAATGCCCCTCCCCCCCCCTCCTTTTTATTTTATTATATATATATATATATATATATAATATATCGCATACCCTCTGTTCTCAGCTGCATAAGAGCTGGGGGTGGAGAAACCACAGCACACAGATTTTTTTTTTTTTTATTATTCTTACCCCCAGTGAATTGGTGTGGGGGGGGGGGGGGGGGGGGCTGTCAGGACAAGTCTGATCACTGGAGATCAGATTCAGTTTCCAGCACAATTGGAGAACTGACCACGCTGTGCTCTCATGCTTAGTGTGGTCAGTTTTTAATAGGAGCACAGAGGGACTGGCAGGAACACCAGAGATTTCACACAAACAAAGCAATACAAAGAGAACAGGATACTTTTTCATACAAGTACATGGTACAGCAGGCACATACCAGGAATATGAAATGTTGGGTTTATATATTCTTTATCTGAGTTTATTGTATGTTAATGGCATGAGTTAATAATCTAAATCTATATTTAGTTTCAGGAGGCACGTGTTGTCACTGAATTTGAATGGGTGTAATTTACTAATGAAAAAAACTGCAACATCTCTTTGCTTTCCTGGCACACACTCAGGTACCTTTTTCATCATTCTTGACCTTGACCATTGCCTTTGATCAGTCGTGACTAAGAAAAAGAAAATCTAACTTTTATTTCTCTGTGTTCAGAGGGAAGCTTATGCTCCTCAGATTTTCTTTGAGGCTTCTAGGCCACCTTGGTTCACCCCACGATCCCAGCAGGACTGTTCAGAGTACCTTCGCTTTCTTTTAGACAGGTAGCTTCATTTTCTTACAGTTATTGTTCTTAATAAATAGCTTTTGGCAAGAAAACACTACATATTATCATTTTGTTTAAAAAGAGAATAATCATTGTCTCTGTTGTACATGCTGGAAAGTGTTATATGACGTTTTTTAAATGCCATTACAAATGGCTTGTGGATTATTATGGGCTTTTAGGTAGTCATTGCAATGTGCCCAAAGCAACCAGTCTGATTTTATTTTACTGTGCTCACAAGTAAAAAAAAAAAAAAAGTTTGTTGGTCCCTGTACCCTACATATAGACACTACTCTCTGCACTGTGTTGTTAAATAAGGATTGATATTATATCTACTGGTAAGGGTCTTCTTGGAAGTAAAGATATAGACTTCCATTTGTCAGAGCTGAACTCTGGGCTGGAAAAAAAAACAAAAAAAAATCAAAGCTTGTTATTTCTAGGGATGCAGGAATAGGTAGTAATACTTGCCGTATTCTCGGCTGCAGCAGGCTTCCTACATCCATGTGACTGGTTCAGCGCTGTTGCCTCTCAAAGGTGGCTTGCTTCTGAAGTTGCATGCCTGCCTCTTCCATGTACAAGGCATTGTACGTGATAATGTCAAAGGACCACCTAGAGTTGCAAGGAGAATAGGCTAGTAGGGCGGGTGTGGGGTTGGTTAAGTAATAGTCTCATCCAGTACCCCTGGGAATAACAAGTATTTAACACATGCAGTTCATTGTGTGTTGTTGGTGGTGGTTTTTTTTTTTTTTCTTTAAATATTTTTGGAGTTTAGCTTTAACTTCAGATTTGTCAAACTTGCAAACAATAATAGAGTTTTAAGATTGTGGAATAGTCATACAGTACATTAATGATGTCTGTAATTGGTAAAACAGTATATCTTTTTATTTTTATTTTATTTTAGACTACATGAAGAAGAGAAGTCCTTCAGAGCTCTGTCCTCAATGCCTGCTGCTGATCCAATGATTACTGATGGTGGTTTGCAAGCAGCAGCATCTGGAGGGACAGACGTCCTTCCCCGAGTGCAGAACACAGGGTGGGGTCATGAAGAGAAGACTTTAATAGAAAGTATGTTTGGAGGGAAGCTACAAACTACCATTTGCTGCCTGAACTGTAAAAGCACTTCTCAGAAGATGGAAGCCTTCACTGACCTTTCTCTGGCCTTTTGTCCGTCATCAGATAAACCTGTCCAAAGCATGGTCTGCTCCCCAAAGGAGAAAGATGATGATTGCATAGAAATAGATGTTACCCCATCTGGCGAAGCGCAGAGTGTTTTTGTTCTTTCAGCACAAGATGATTGTGGAAAGTCTACTGAACTAAAGTCCACGGTCGGCGGTTGTCAGTCCAGCAGTAACACCTCTGTGGATGTACCAGCATGTAACAACACATTGCCGCCTGACAGTGACCTGTGTAGAAAGACTGATAAGAATGAAACGCTCTCTGTTACGGACTTGTTGAGCTATTTTCTAGCACCAGAGATACTTGATGGAGAAAATCGATATCATTGTGAAAAATGTGCTTCCCTCCAGAACGCTGAAAAGACTATGCATATTATAGAAGAACCAGAATACCTCATTTTAACGCTATTAAGGTTTTCATATGACCCTAAATGTCACGTGAGACGGAAAATCCTGGATAATGTGTCCATTCCACTGGCACTTGAATTGCCAGTTGAAAGATCTACCTCGGTGGCTTGTTCTGGAGATAGAACTCAAGATGCAGATGTTCCTGATGTCAGTGAGAACCTGGCTAAAAAGCTGAAACCATCTGGTATTGAAGATCTATGCTGCACCCAGCTTGTCCCCTATGTTCTAAGCTCTATTGTGGTCCATTCTGGTACCTCTTCAGAAAGCGGCCATTACTATTCATATGCAAGGAATGTCACCAGTACATCGCGATATCTCTGCCATGAGAAACCTTACCAAGGTCATTTAGTGAGCAAAGAGACCTCAAACTCGGTAGTTGAAAATGACACTGCATGTAATGACATGTCTAAAGAATGGTTTCTGTTTAATGATAGCAGAGTGACATTTACTTCATTTCAGTCTGTTTTAAATATCACCAGTCGGTTTCCAAAGGACACAGCTTATGTGCTGTTATATAAAAAAGCACAGTTGTAGTGATGCCAGTAATATACATCCTAGTTCAGTAAATGGACTTTGGGTAAATGGGGAACCACCACTTCAGAAGGAGCTGATGGATGCCATTACCAAGGACAATAAGCTCTACTTACAGGTACAATTACATCTAGTTTATTGGTTGTTTTCCACCCACATGGTTGTCCAGCAAGTCAAAGAAACAATTCTAAAACCTGTTCTATGCCGCTTGCATCTGAGCCAAAACATTTTTTATGTTTTTAATAGACAGGAGAAGGGTTAGAGCATCTGGCAGATTGTTCTTGTTTGTGTCTGTTCTAGGGTCACCCATTTTTTTTTTTTTTGTCCTGGGGACTATTTCTGCTAGACCTGTGAGGGAAAGTCCAAAATGTTTGGGTTGTAGCTGGAACTGTAATTGAGGGAAAATCTTCCAGTGGGACCATTTGTTTTGATGGCCTCTATCGAAGTGGGTGATTTCAAATATACTTTAAAGAGAAATTCTAACTAAATCCTAACTAGTATTAAAAATGCTCCCTTCCCCCTCCTAACACGCATACTAAGCAACCTGAGTAAAAAACATGCATATACTTGCCTATTTTTAGCCAGCTCTGGTCCGGTCATGTGATCTGGCTCCCGTGTCAGCCAGCGGTGGCTGCAGAGAAGGGGAAGGACTATCAAAAATGGCTGCATCTTGGGATTCTATGGGTGACGACATCTTCTACAGCTGTTAGAGCAATTTTCAGGTGCCCCTCTACATTCCCCTGCAGCTCCACTGGCTGACACAGGGGATCACGTGACTGGAAAATGAGTAAGTATATACCTACTTCCCTACTTTACTTTAGAAAAGCTTTTTATTTCTGTATTTGTTGCTGTTAGAGAGAGTTGCCCTTCCTGTCTGGTAAATCAGCAGCAGGACAGGGAGTGGGAATAAATCTAAAAAACCTGATGGGGTTTATAACGCTTTTCCACTCTATTCATACTATTAAAGTTTTGGTTGGACATAGTTTAATCCACCCACACCCAGCAGCATATGCTCACCTTTCCCTCATTTCACTACTACTCTGTTAAAAGTCAGGGGGAGACACAAAAATACCTGGTATTTCTGGGTATGGAAAAGCATGTCGCTCACACCAGGTGACACAATGGATAATGGCAGGAGATATAAAAGAGCTGGGAGGTCTGCATCACTAGCCAATTCACACTATGCAGTGACAGATGTTTTATCACATGGTAAAATGTCTGTTACCGCTGGGACACACAGGAAACAATTATTTCCTAATAATTTTATTGCAGTGCACCAGGTCGAAACTCACTGCACTGCCTGATATTGCAGTGAATGAGGTGCTCTGCCTTCTTCCCAATAGTCTTAAATGGGACTGTACATCAGGGAACTCTAGTCTTGATATATGGCACATAGTTTTTTTGCAGACACTGTATATACGGCTGCAGACCGCAGCTGATCTATGAACAGTAAGTAACTTGAGGTTGTGGTGTTTTGGAGTGAAAGACCTGGGAATCAGGTTAGTGTAGTTCAGCTCAGGAGGGATGTTAATAGCAGTTGTCACTAATGTTTGATGAAGCATTGATATTATAAATTGCTGCAGAAGAGCTGTAATATTACAAAGAGTTTCTGAAAGGTCATTTAGGTAGTTTGCATATACAAAGATAAATATTAATTAATGAAGGCTCCCTTTTAATAGTAATCTGTCTTGTGTTCACAGGAACAGGAACTTAATGCCCGTGCACGGGCTCTACAAGCAGCATCTGCTTCCTGCTCGTTCAGACCCAATGGATTTGATGACAATGACCCTCCAGGCAGTTGCGGGCCTAGTGGCGGTGGTGGAGATGGAGGTTTCAGCACCATCAGCAGACTTGTCTTTTAAAAAAAAAAAAAAAAATACTAAATAGTGTCCATTATGCACTGATGACTAAACCACACTGGACATTTTGACTTTGTAGTCCAATCTTCTCACTTCTCCAAATGTTGACATATCACGTTTTCCTTCAAATACCAATATAATAGGCAGCTTATAATTTATATTTGCAGAGATATGTGTGATTTGATACACATCAATATTTGTTTCCCATAATGCCTTGAACTGGCTAAGCAAAGATAAATGTATGGGTGCTGTAATGTAAGAACTGAAGTGGTAACATACACAGATGGTTTTTGTTTCCCATACAGAAATTTGTCAAGAGATAGTATTGTATTATATATGGAACACATTGTTTTGTGTTTCATTTTCCCAGCGTATTGAAAGCTTTATGGTGCGACCTAAGCGGAAAGCAATAACTGTCTCTATTGTGTTCTAGTTCAGGGTGTTTTTTCCACTAAAGCTTCATATAAGCATCAGAGGATGTATGTATATAATCTGTGACATCACTTTTTAAAAAGATTGCATGAAATTCTACAGTTTTTAACCAGAAAAAAATGCTAACTTTATAGTATTTCTAAGTTGTCTCAGAATTTTTAAAAAATTCTATTTCAGGGATTACATCTGCCATGTATAAATGAGGGAAAATTCTGTATGTGCCTTGCTGTCCTGTAAATGAGAAATGAGATCCCTTTGGATTGTAGAGTGTATTATGTATTCTACATTGTCAATATTAAGAGTTGCAGCTTGAACTTATTTTATTGCCAGAGAAAAAAAAAAAAAACAGTGGTTCCATAAATTGCTTTAATGAGTCATTACAGTTTTTCTGGTCTTTTTATGGATTGTGTGCCGGTGTTACTTAGCAGAATTAAGACAACTGGGAGTTGATTTACTAAAGGCAAATATACTGTTCACTGCAAGTGCAGTTGCACCAGAGCTTGGTAAATAAGGTAAAGCTTCACTTTGCAAAGAATACCCAATCACATGAAAGGAAAATTTTAAAAAACAGCATTTTTGCTTGCACATGATTTCAGAGTTTCCCCTCAGATCTAAAACAACGGCAGTCACAGCAAACAGTATATTTTCCTTTAGGAAATCAACCCCTTTATGTTCTAGTATGTCTAAATCCAAGAGCAAAAATGTTCTATATTGCCTCTTACCAGTCCTTAGATGTTGTGGCTGCATTAGTGTTTGTTTTTCTTAAGCTAAGAACATTTTCTGCAATTATAGAAAAATATTGGTTTGAAACTGCCAAAAATCCAGTATCCTTGTAACTTATTGTGCATGTAACCAAAATCTCAAACCATGGTGTCAGCCTTCCCAGTTCTTTCTGTGTATGGAGATGAGGGTAGAAAAGGTGTGTTTTTTTTTTTTCGCTTTTCTTTTGTACTAAAACCTTTCCTGTCCAAGGTTGACAGCACTTCTCCTTTTGTGTATATATAGTGTGGTGGGTGATTTTTGTCACCCTAGAACAGTAATTGAGTTAATGGCACGATCACAAGGTAAAAATAAAGATAAAAGCCACAAAAACTAAAGTTAGACTTGAAGGTAACTTAGCCCCCTCCTTCCATCACAATTAGGAAGAGCTTAATGTAAAAGGTCTTAAAAGGAGGTCCCAAGAGAGTGCTGGTCAGTTGTCACAATGAACAAAGTGGAACTAATGCTGTCCTTGGAAAACTAAAGTTAAAACTTCCTGGGAACAGAGTTATCAATAAACCTAAGTTGGCTTTCAGAAAAGCACCATGAAAAAATAAATGGTAACTTTCCAGACTTGTTTTGGGCTACAAACTTTTCTACTAAAGCCCTAGTTCACACTGGTTTGATTTTTTAATTGTTGCAGAATGCATTGAATCGCATGACAAGTGAAATAACATGGGTTTCTGTGGAGGCCACTCACTTACTGCATATGCAGTCCAGCCACAGTGCGATTTTTGAAAAGAGCCCTATGTACGTTTGTGAGGCTAGAAATTGTACCACACTGCTGTAGATGTGAACGTGAAGACTTCCAGATCACTTATCTGTTCAGTTGTGACACCATTCCAGCACATTTTCATCCGGTCTTTGCTCTCCTCGTCCTGTTCCTCCCCTCCTCTCCACCTCACCTGCTCACTTCTCATTGGCACATGAGGAAGACAAGTTATGGAGTCCAGATGTAGAAAGGTATCTAGGAAGAGGAAAGAAGCTATTTATAATGAGGAGCTCATCCGCCTGGTCTGGGAGAGACTCTTCTTATGACACCAGGGACCCCTAGTATAAAGACCACAATAGGAAAGAAAGAGCTTGGCTGGATATTGCCCAAACGCTTCTGCCAGACTGGGACACCTTTTTTGCCACAGAGGGGACAGACAAAAGTAAGTTATGTTCCTATGGATGCTATATACACTGCTCAAAAAAAATTAAAGGAACACTTCTTAATCAGCGTATAGCATCAAGTCAAATAAACTCCCGGGTTATTGATCTGGTCAGTACGTAGGTTGTTAATCAGTTTCAGCTGCTTTGGTGTTAATGAAATTAACAGGTGCACTAGATGCTAAATGGTATGGGATCCTCCTGCGCTCATGGGAATAAACTAACACAATACAGCTGCTGTCACTTTAACTAATACCAATAAGTGCAAGAAATAAACATAAAATTAGTGAAGCGTTTGTATCTCATGAATACAATCATGTGTCTCCATAAAGTATAATAGTAAATCAAAGTGACCACTATATATATTAAAAAAATATGTGAACTCCCTCTAGTGGATAGAAAAAATAATGTCAACCGAAATGACTATAATAGCTAAATATCACACATTAAGAACCTAAATATGTAGTGCATAAATCTGATATACTAAACAAAGTATATATACATGAAAACAGAATAATTGGCCACATACAATGGTGTCTAAATCAAACATAACTAATATATGCCATAAGTGAAAAAGGGTACCCTGATGAAGTCACGACGCACGTGACGCAATGCGTCGGTTTGTCTACTTCCTGGTGACGTATGTCCGGACGCAGTGGCCATATTGGATTCCCCCAGGTGCATGCATATCTACCCACAGGCTGGGAAAAAACGCGCTTGTTATGGAAAGGAGCATGTGAGTGGTTTACTTTGTCACTTTTTACTTTGCCTATTAAAACTTACTACACTATGGAAGGCTTTCTTGTCTTTTTATGAGTTGCATAAGAGAGGAGGAGGATTAAGGAGTCTGCCAGAGGAATAACACTGAGGTGGTAACTGCTTTGAGGCCCTGTGTGGGTCGAGGAAGGGAGGTGAGCAGGCATTGCTGCCATTTGAAGGAGAGTACTTGCACTTAGAAGTGGAGATCACGTGTGTGTTCCAGCTTAAAGCACAGTCACATGCATGGAATATTTTTTCACCTTTGATATTGTCTTTTTCACTTATGGCATATATTAGTTATGTTTGATTTAGACACCATTGTATGTGGCCAATTATTCTGTTTTCATGTATATATACTTTGTTTAGTATATCTGATTTATGCACTACATATTTAGGTTCTTAATGTGTGATATTTAGCTATTATAGTCATTTCGGTTGACATTATTTTTTCTATCCACTAGAGGGAGTTCACATATTTTTAATAGATAGTGGTCACTTTGATTTACTATTATACTTTATGGAGACATATGATGTATTCATGAGATACAAGCGCTTCACTAATTTTATGTTTATTAGGTGCACTAGATGGGCAACATTGAGATGATCCCTAAAACAGGAATGGCTTTACAGGCGGAGACCACTGACATAATTTTCCATGCTCATCTTTTCTGACTATTTTTCACTAGTTTTGCATTTGGCTAGGGTCAGTGTCACTACTGGTAACATGAGGCGATACCTGGACCCTACAGAGTTTGCAGAGGCAGTCCAACACCTCCAGGATGGCACATCAATACGTACCATTGCCAGAAGGTTTGCTGTGTCCCCCAGCACAGTCTCAAGAGCATGGAGGAGATTCCAGGAGACAGGCAGTTACTCTAGGAGAGCTTGACAGGGCCGTAAAAGGTCATTAACTCATTAGCAGGACCGGTATCTGCTCCTTTGTGCAAGGAGGAACAGGATGAGCACTGCCAGAGCCCTACAAAATGACCTCCTGCAGGCCACTGGTGTGAATGACCAAACAATCAGAAACAGACTTCTTAAGGGCCTGACTCCCCCTAGTGGTCCCTGTGCTCACTGCCCATCACCATAGAGCTTGATTGGCATTTGCCATTGAATACCAGAATAGGCAAGTCCACCACTGGTGCCATGTGCTTTTCACAAATGAGAGCGGGTTCACCCTGAGCACGTGACATATGTGAAAGGGTCTGGAGAAGCCGTGGAGAACGTTTTTTTGTCTGTAACATCGTTCACCATGAGCGTTTTGGTGGTGGGTCAGTGATGGTCTGGGGAGGCATATCCATGGAGGGACGCACAGACCTCTACAGGCTAGACAATGGCACCCTGACTGCCATTAGGTATCGGGATGAAATCCTTGGACCCATTGTCAGACCCTACGCTGGTGCAGTGGGTCCTTGTGTTCCTCCTGGTGCATGACAATGCCTGGCCTCATGTGGTGAGATTGAACAAGCTAAATTTAGAAGGTGATTGGCTACCATGAATGGCTGCACCAGATTCTGAGTGCACCAGTTTTAGCAAACCTAACCCATAGTGTAAACTAAAAAAATTATTCCTGCGCCTAGTGAAACACCCTACTCTAGGTTCTATCCTGCTGCTGTGCAATGTGATCAACACAAATTGTAAAAAATATATAAGTGAACAGCGCAAACATAGACCTCTACATCAAATCAATATACAAAGTGCAAACATATATAAAAAATTAAATAAATAGTGAAGTCCATCAATAATAAACATAAAATTCAAAAATAGTTTGTGCAAACAGAAATTTTCAAATTTTTCTTCTATTATAAAGAAACTTCCACCTTCCACCCGTGAAAACCAACATCAAATGCACTCACCAGATTAAGGTGAATGAAACGCCTTTTAGGAGTTTATGGGATCCT